TATACAAATTTGTTGGTTCAATTTTTTTTTTTTTTTTTTTTTTTTTTTTTNTTTTTTTTTTTGGTAAGAATGCAAAATTGTTCATATAATTAGGAAGCTATAATTTTGAGTACGACTATAATTTCAACTTCACAAAAATTTTACCAAAGAATTGTGATTTTGTTTGTTGAATTTACTGCTATATTTTGGATTTGGAATTGTAAGGTACAATTTGTAAATTTAATTGTAAATGAAGGATAGAAATGTAACTGTATCTATTTAATGATTATAATGACTTTTCAAGAAAACGCCATATTTAATCACATGTATAAAGCATTTAATAGAAAAGGGAAATAATCAAGCTCATTCCATTATTGAAACCAATCACACCCTTATTATATTATGCATTGCGGGTGTACAATAGGATTATATGAATTGAACGTTAATGAATATTAGATTGCACAATATATCTTTCGGTTCAATTATTTTATATTTCAATTTGAATTTTATATTTTGGTTCAATTTTTTTTTACTTCGAAAATATCGATCATTTCGGTACGTCTTTTTTTCATTTAAATAACCAAACAATTGAAGTATATAAAAATATTATTTTTTTCAGTCAATAAAATATATAATATTAAAATACTAATCATGTTTTGGTTAATTAATTAAAAACTTGATTAATATAAAATATAAAATACTAATGACGTATCCTCAAAATATCTTGTGCATCTTATGTATAGCTTATTGTACATTTATTAAATTACTAATTATGTTTTGATTAATAATTAAAATTTGTTATATTATAAAATATAAAATACTTGTTGGAAAAATCAGTTATAAAACTTGGGTTTGACTCGGTTTTGACTGAATTTTTTATGGCTAAATATTTAATTTGAGTTGAATATAATAAGGGTGTGATTGGTTTCAATAATGGAAAAATTCTACGTTCCGAGTAGATACTCGTGGTATATTTATTTTCTCAAAACTGATTTTCGGTGAGTGAGAAATAAATTGTTAAAGTTAGCCATAAAAGGGCACGTAAAACGTTGGTTGTGGGATTTGAAGGGTCAAGAGTCACTCCCACATTGGACTCTTAAATGAGTTTAACTCTCTTTATTATAATAAAAAGAGTTAGAGAGGTTACAACAAGCACAAAACTATGCACCAAGTGTTGGTGTTGTATACGGCCACATGAGCGCGCGCGCGCCCGCCGACCGGTTCGGGCACGGGCCTGGGAATTGGGACTTGGGACTTGGTCCTTGGTTCTTGGCAATTGGACTTTGGGCTGGGCTTGGGCCTTGGGCCCAATCACTATATATCTTTTTGCTGCAAATTTTAGGCCCAACTGAAAAATCCAATTCTAGTTGGATTTGGACTCGGGTTTTGACCCAACCCGAGTGAGACCTCTCCAAGTACAATGAACCTGGACACCTGACTGTTCAGGTGGAATGTTAATGCCTGGTTAATGGTGTAGTAATGGTGTCATTTATCTCAGCCTTAAGTGGCTGATGTAACTCTTGGTTCTCCCTCAAAGGTGGAAGTCCTATAAATAGGACATAGAGCTGCAGAGAATACACACAACATTGCATGCACTCTGAATACTCTCAAAGCCTCACGCATCATATCATACTGCTTTGTTCTCGACTTCATTCCAGTTCGTCGGAGCTTGAATTTTGGTGTGATACAGTATTCGAGACGTAAGCCGTTGTATCTTTGGGGACGAGACGCCTGAACCTGTCAGCACTATACGGGGCGTTTTCGTCTTGCGGAAAGAGCAATCTCCTCGGCTGTTTTCGCTTTCTTTTTTGTAATTTTCGATTTTCTTTTAGTTCAAATTGTACGAACTGAACACTTCAGTCAGTTCATAGGTTCCCGTTGTAATCAAAACACTACATTGTGTAACAATACTAATGTGATTTTTCATTACAATATATATTTGCCTCATGTACTAAAATGCAATTACATTTAAAATTGATAAATTGCATATGAGTCCTCTTAAGTTCTAATTTCTAGAACATGACCCAACCCTGCCAATTTACATCCCATTCAGCGCAGCTGCTCGCCGCCTTCGAACACTGTGAAGCTGATCATCGTCACCACGTCCGACCTGCGTCCGAAGCCATATCCTTCTGCGACAGTGTGAATCCTCATCGTCCGTCGTGCCCTCGCCAGCGGCCCTTGACCTCTACTATCATTGGCGACAAATGTTAGAGTGGACAACAATTGCGGCGTGACGGTGCTGACAATAAGATCCATATGCCGAACGCTCGTTCATCTTGCTCGCCGAAAATTTGATGCTGAACACAGTGAGGGCAATGTGGCGGCCATGATTACGTGGATTCATGCGGTGGCAGGCTATTAACTGCGGCGGCTGTACCGATAGTGGGGCTGTTGGCTACAGTTGACGTTTGTGTGTTAATTGTGTGTGCGTGTGTGTGTGTATGTGAATTGTTTGTGTGTGAACTATGTGCGCATGAAGAAGATTATTTTTGTGTGTGTTTATGAGATGAGAGTTATGGTGGGACCTGCATAGTGTTTGGTAAGTCGTAATTGAGTGAAATGATTGGATTACCTTTAGTGGACAAATGTATAAATTTGACCAGGATATGTACATTTATTTATGAAATTGTCACCGCATGTTTGATTGTTATATTTAAATTCAGAATAGATCATGATATGCTGGATCTAATAGTACACAATTATTCTCATTTCTTTCACTATCTACCAT